GTATCATGTTTGGTAGAATTGGAGGGTCAGAGAAAAAAGAGGAAGACCCCCAGCGAGGTGGATTGGCAAAGTGGCAGCATCAATGGGCTTAAGCGAGGCAACAATAGTGAGGTTGGCCCAGGATGGGGCAGTGTTTCGTTCTGCTGTGCATAGGGTCGCTGAGTCAGTACCAACTCGATGGCACCTAACAACAACAACAACATTGTCAGGATCAAGGGAAAGAATGTGAGAAGAGCCTTTGTGATTGTGAACTCCAAGGATTGTTATTGTTGTTGTTGTTGTTAGGTGCCATCTACTGATCCTTCCTCTTTGCTCCCAACCTTTGCATTCCAATCACCAGTAATGATCAGTACATCTTGATTGCATTTTGCATCAATTTCAGATTGAAGAAGTTGGTAGAATTCTTCTGTTTCATCCTAACTGGCTTTAGTGGTTGGTGCGTAAATTTGAATAATAGTGGTATTAACTGGGCTTCCCTGTAGGTGCATGGATATTATCCTATCACAGACATCATGACTGTACCTCATGACTGATCTGGGTATGTTCTTTTTGATGATGAATGCAACACCATTCCTCTTCAGTTTGTCATTCCCAGCATAGTAAACCATGTCATTATCGGATTCAAACTGGCCAATACCAGACCATTTCAGCTCACTAATGCCTAAGATATCGATGTTTATGCGTTCATTTTTGACAACTTGTCATTTTTGACAACTTGCAATTTTCCCAGATTCATACTTTGTACATTCCATATTCTGATTTTCAGTGGATGTTTACAGCTGTTTCTCTTCATTTTGAGTTGTGCCCCATCAGCAAATGAAGGTCCCCTGGGCTTTTCTCCCACAAGCTTTACTCCTTTTGCGTCATCATGGTTAACTCTACTTTGAGAAGGCAGCTCTTCCCCAGTTGCATTTTGAGTGCTTTCCAACCTGGGGGGCTCATTTTCCGGCACTATCTATGACAGTGTTTCTCTGCTATTCATAAGGTTTTCAGTGACTAAAGATTCTAAAGTAATTCGACACTGTTTCTTCCTAGTTTCCCTTTGTCTGGAAGCTCATCTGAAACCTGTCCACCATGGGTGATCCTGCTGGTATTTAAAATACTGGTGGCATAGCTTTCAGAATCACAGCAACTGACAAGCCACCACAGTACGACAAACTGACAGATGAGTGGTGGCTGTTTGATTTTAAGTGGAAACTGTCACTTTAAATTTCGAGGAGATCTGTGCACATGCGTTGTAGAACCCTCCAGGGGTGTGTCCATTCATTCAGGCATCCTCTCTAGTCACCAGAATGGAGGTCGCAGACAGCGAGAGATCAATGAACAGATACCAAAAAAAAAAATGTCCACACCTGTATTTCCACAGTTCTGTCAGGTGTTCGTGGCTGTTCTGATACTTCCCCCACTTGGTCTCTCCCAAGATGGCGGCTCCAGGAGCAGCTGAGCATCTTGAATTAGAAAGCAATGGATTTCTTGATTCTGCTACAAATTCCCCTAGCTGTAAGCCTTCCAACCTTCTAAATATTCCTTTATATGTGGTTCAGAGTTCTAGCATCATCCCCTGAGCCTGCTTGGTCGGGTATTCTGTGTTGTTGGTGACGGAGCTCCTTACTGCACTTCCACCTGATCCTCCATCTAGTTACTATTTATTTATAACAGGTGGTGTTGGGAAGGAGGGTTGTTTGGATTCAGGCTTCTACTAACTCAGGCCCCCTGCGTCAACTGGCCCTAATTTTATGTATATGAGGGGACTTTAGAAAGTTCATTATCTTTTCATTCCATTTTTTCAGTGCACTTTTTGAAGCCCCTTGTTGTTTCCTCTCATAGTGGTTTTTTAAGGAGCAAGATCAATTTCATCAGCCCCTTGTGGGAACACACTCATATCTACACTTGCTTACTTGCTTTCAGCTCTAGAGTTTGCTTAGTTTCCTAGAGCTGGTCAGGATCCTCAAGACCATTTTAGATAAGGAAACAGGCCCGGAGGTAGAACAGACTCTTGCTTAAGGTCATACGAGTCAAGTGAAGGGCTCATGACCTCAGGGATGAGGCATATTAAGTTGGGGGCCATGGAGAGGGATGTAGCCCATGTTTAAGGATTGGGTCTGTAGGACAGTGAAGGGGAGATAGAGGTAGGTCTTGGCTCCTCACAGGCCTGAATCCTTGGCACGGAGGAGCTGGGGCCTGGACATCCCTTTCCCCAGATTCCCTGTCACCCCATCACTTATACAGACAGCCAAAAAGAAGGGCTATCACCCACCCAAGGTAGCTGGATCCCAGCTTCAGGACACCTAACTCTCCAATCCCCATGGTTCAGTGCAAGTTTTCACCCGCCTCGCAGAATTCCAGTCTTATGGTCTCTTTTTATTAACGGAAGTAAACACAGAAAGCTGACCTTTCCCGCCCCCCGGACAAAAGTCGGAAGGGCAGGTTATCTTCTGAGTCTAAGAAGTGACTCAGAAAGGAGGAGGATAAACCTCAGAAGGGGTGTCCCTTCCCTATTGCCCCCCCCCCCCCCCCCCACACACACACCAGTGGACAGAGTGTCACTAAGGGCTGGGGAGAGTTACCTTCTGGAATGTCTCAGAGATCTGAGTAGAGCATCGGTCCATTGTGTATGAGAACCTGGTGCCTTTCTCAGTGGGAGTTGGGGGCAGATGGCTTGCCAAGGCTATCTCCCACCAGGAATAGGCTCTCCTGGAGGTCTTTAACTATTTGGGATTGGGTTCTTTCTTGGTCATGAAGGAATAGCAGGAACAGGAGGGAGGTGGTCTTGAGACTGCCTGCAGACCAGACCCTTCCCCAATTCTGTCCTAGGATTTGTAGCAGCACCCCCTTCCCCCACATTCTCCCAACCCACGGAGGGAAATATGGTTACGGCTATTGGTTCTTTAGGATAAGCACTGAACTGCTAGCATTAGGGTCAGTGGTTCAAACCCACCAGCCACTCCTGGGAAACCCTATACAGGGTCACTGTGAGTCACTTAACATTTAGCCGGCAGAAGCAAATCAATGCAGGTGTTCCCAATCTGCCAGGGCCTGAACCTCCAGCCCAGCTATTAATGCTTTTAAGCCCTGCCTGGCCACACATTAACTTTTGTCCTCCTTGCACAATGGATGACAAGGAGAAGAGAAGGCAGCAGAGGAAGTATGGGGAGTGGATGGCCAAGGGGGCTGCTCTGGACAGTCCTGGATCAGACCCTGGCCAGGGCCTTCAGGGCACAGGGTCACTAGTTCCTTCCACTCTAGAAAGGCTTTGCTCCTCCTCCTTTCCCTGCCCCTCCTGATCATTTTCTATTGGGAGTCACAGGACAGGATTCTGGTGACAGGAAGTAAGAAGAGAGATTCCAGTCAAATGACCCAAGACCTGGGGGGGGGGGGTGCTGGGACTCAGGGCGGGACCTGTCTGGGAGAGGACTGCTACGTCCTGCTTTCCAACTTCCCCCTAGGCAGGGGGAGCTATTCTGCTTGTCAGTCTGTCCCACTTCCTCTTCATCCCCTACAGCAAGCCCAACATATGTACATACAGTACAGAGCCTGACATTGTTCTTGACTGCTCTCCCCAGCTTCCCTCGGCCCACCCCATCTCCTACTGAGGGTGCAAGAAGAAAACCTTAGCATTCCTCTTTCTGAGTCTTTTTCATCCCATCATTTTTTTAATTCGCGTTCTTTGGTATAGGTTTAACAATATACATGCCATAGTTGTAAACTAATACATATATGCAATATATAAAATGTACATAATTTGGGAGATGAAGCTAAAAAATAATTTACCAATAGAAGGGCAAGTAAGGAAACAGGTTGGCAGATGTTTTTCATTAACATTTTGGGCTTTGGAGGCCATATAGTCTGTACTGTAAGTACTCAGCTCTGTGGTTACAAGAAAGCAGCCATTCCTACTAGGTAAACAAATGTGTGTGGCTGTGTTCCAATAAAACTTTATTTAAACCCACTGTCCTTTAGTGAATTCCTACTCACAGTGACCTGATAGGACAGAGTAGAACTGTGCCCGAGGGTTTCAGTTTTCAAGATTGTAAGTCCATACCAGAGCAGACAGCCTCATCTGTCTCCTGCAGAGCGGCTGGTGGGTTTGAATTGGCAACCTTGTGGTTAACAGCCCAACATTTAACCCACTTTACTTATGGACACTGAAGTTTGAATTGCATAGCCATTTCACTTGTCACAAAATATTATTTTACTTTGTTTCCCCACTAACATTGAACAATGTAGACAATACTTTTTAGCTCACGGGCCTTATGCAAAGAGGCAGTGGACAGATTTGACCCATTGCCCTAGACCACTGGTTCTTAAACTTGAGCCTGTTTCACACTGGCCTAGGAAGATTCTGAATAATGCATATTTCATAATCCCAGCAGTGATTCTGTAGATTCTGTGGAGGTCCTGAAACCTGCATTCTAACAAGCAACCCAAGTGGTTCAGAAGCAATTCGTCCAAAGATGAGTCTTTGAGAAACCTAGCTCTGGAAAGTCTCCAGAGTTCTATTTAATTCATCTGTTGTTGTTGTTAAGTGCCATCGAGTCGGGTCCGACCCATAGCGACCCTGTACAGGGTTTCCGAGGGTGTAAATCTTTACGGGAGTAGAAAGCCTCATCTTTCTCCCGCGGAGCGGCTGGTAGTTTCGAACCGCTGACCTTAAGGTTCGCAGCCCGATTCGTAACCACTACGCTACCAGAGCTCCTTTAATTCATCTAGCCCCTAACAAATGCTTGGGTCATGTAGTGCCCTGGGGGGGCCCAGAACTGGGTCTGGGGATCAGAAGGATAAGGATCCTTCACCACCTCTAAGGAACTGCCATCCAGTGGGGCACACTGGCCATATATCCACAGCAATGCCCTATGGGCTTTGAGGATAGATGTGAGGCCCAAATTAGCTAGCTCTCTGTGTCCAGACCCCACCAGGGAGTCCCTCCCACCCCTAGCCAGGAGTGGCACTTGAGTTGGTTTGCTGTAGGAGCCTTCAGCCAGCACCTTTTGCCTTTACAGATAAAATACCATGAGGAGTTTGAGAAGAGCCGCATGGGCCCCAGTGGAGGTGAGGGCATGGAGCCGGAGCGCCGGGATTCCCAGGACAGCAGCAGCTACCGGCGGCCCCAGGAGCAGCAGCAGCCGCACCACATCCCGACCAGTGTCCCAGGTGAGGGCCAGCCTGTGGGGCAGGGAGTGGGAGGAAGATCAGAGAGAAGCCCTGTCCACGTGCAGGTGGACCATTGCTTCTGAACCTGCAGGCCCCATCTTACTAATGGCATGTGCTGTTGGCCTGCACTGGACTAAGGGGAGCAGAAGGGTGAGCCTCAGTGTGGTCGGGGACACAGCTTCACTCTGGAACGTTCTATGTGCTAAGGACAGAGTCCTTGTTGGAAAACCCACAGCACATGCAGTCATGTACACGGCTTGTAGACGTAAGCCTTGAAGAAGTGGAGGTTGGGCAAAGGGGTGCCGGATGAGTCTTCCAGGGTGTGCCTTACTTACCACAGGGGGAGCTAAGTGATGGGTGTTTCATGGAGGGAGGGTTGGCAGGGCCATTTCTAAGGCCTCTCTCTGCCCATCTTCCAGTTTACCAACAGCCCCAGCAACAGCAGCAGCAGCAGCAGATGGCTCAATCCTACAGTGGCTACAAGGAACCTGCAGCCCCAGTCTCCATACAGCGCAGTGCCCCAGGCGGGGGCGGGGTAAGTGGCCCTCCTGATGGGGAGAGAGCCTGGAGGCCAGAGGTAGGTGGGCCTTAGGGAAGACATCCTGGACACGGTTCAAGGAGGAGTCTCCTTAGAAACCCCACCCAGGAGGCCTGACTTCTGACCTTTAACCCTAGCTCTGTTATCCATCAGCAGGTAATAGGTGTCTCAGCTTTTTAAGTTGAAAGGAAGGATCGCAGAGTGGGCATACCCTGGCCTGGGATTAGGGCCCTGAGTTCCAGCCTGGGATTCACCTTGGGCAAATCACATCTCTGGTTCTTATCTACAAGAGGAAACCTTCCCTCTCTAGGTCCCAGCAGTTGGGGGTAGAGAGTGGGGCAGGTTGGGGAAGTTTCTCAAGTGCTTGCCCCACTTCACCACCTCACACATATGAGTTGAGGGGTGGGGCATGAAGACTGAGCTGACCCCAGAGACAAGTCAATGCCAAAGACACTGGAGGTTTTGGGGGTCATTAAACTCAAGCTTACCTCAAGACTACTGGTGTGAAGTCTGCATACATTTACCGGATATTTCCTGTTGGTTGGTTGGCGGTTGTGTGCCGTGGAGTCAGTTCTGACTCATAGCGACCCTGTATAGTGTTTCCAAGGCTGTAAATCTTTATAGGAGCAGAAAGCCTCATTTTTCTCCTGCGGGACAACTGGTAATTTCGAACTGCTGACCTTGGGGTTAGCAGCCTGACTTGTAACCACTACACTATCAGAGCTCCTCAGATATTTCCTAGTGGAATTTTTATTTTGAGGTTTGAAGGTAGAACCTGTTAGATACATGTTGTGTCACTGGGAGATTTTTCTCTGTCCTGAACTTGGGAGAGAAGCTAGGCTTCAAAAAAACAACAATACTTACAGAGCATTTCGTCTTTTTTAAAAAAATATTTCCCTGGCTTCATGTCCATTGAACCTGACTGCATTGGTGTTTGGGAAGTGGGACAAAACTGATTATAACCTCAGCACTTATCTTGTGCCTGGCCCATGTTATTGTTGTTGGGGACCATTCATTGATATTGACCCAAAGTGGTCCTATATGACAAGGTAAAGTATCCTGTTGGGTTTCCTAGGCTGTAATTTTTATGGGAGCAGATCTCCAGGTTCTCATGCAGTTGCTGGTGGATTCCAACGTTCAAACCACCAACCTTTCAGTTAGAAGCTGGAATCTTAACCAAGGTGACCTTCCTTTCATGTTGCTGTTGTTAAGTACAGTGGAGTCGCTTCCGACTCATAGTGACCCTGTACAGGGTTTCCGAGGCTGTAAATCTTTACGGGAGTAGAAAGCCTCATCTTTCTCCCGTGGAACAGCTGGTGATTTCGAACTGCCAACCTGAGGTTAGCAGCCCGATTCGTGACCAGTATGCTACCAGAGCTCTTTCCTTTCTTAGTAGCTGCAAAATTCTGTCAAGAGTGTCATTGCTTAGAAAGTGACACACAGAGGTTAAGTGTCAGGGACCAGCCTCGACAGGGAAGTTTGGTTCACGAAGTAGGGAGATCTGGCGGTGAAAGAGATAGAGAAAGAATATACACAAAGACGCAACGAGAGATACAAAGAGACACCCCGAGATCAGAGTGGATGCAAGACTGGCAGGCAGACCCTGGATTGCAGGCATCATGGCCCCTGCAGGCAGTAATACACGCAGGATTCAATCTGCGTCCGTCTTTTATTTCAGGGAGGGATTTTACACAAAGGAAGAAGTGGATTATTATTAACACAGGGTACAGAAATGAAATGTGATTAATCGTTCAAAATGATTTACAGGAACAAGTTCTAAAATATACATTGCAAATTGTCTTAATAATCTAACATTCTTAATTTTCCAAAAATTCAAGCAAAGTGTTATAAATTACTTTTTTGGCTCAAATCCTAAGGCAGCTACTTGAGGTTTCTTAAGCTACTCAAGGCTAATTAACATACCTATAGCGCTTAATCTCTAATGGGTAAAGGTGTTGTTGTTGTTGTTAAGTGCCATCGAGTCGGGTCCGACCCATAGCGACCCTGTACAGGGTTTCCAAGGGTGTAAATCTTTACGGGAGTAGAAAGCCTCGTCTTTCTCCCGCGGAGAGGCTGGTAGTTTCGAACCGCTGACCTTAAGGTTCACAGCCCAATTCGTAACCACTACACTACCAGAGCTCCTAATGGGTAAAGGTGAAAAGGATTTAAATGGTCTGAAGAGAGTCAAGCTGTTTCAGCTACCTGGCTTAGGCTTTCAGGAGGAAGAAGGACCTCTAGGGTAATGGATTACACCTGGGGATGATTTGAGGCGGTTGTCACTATTATTCCTTTAACAATACTCCGGAATTCGCCAATCTACTTTGAGTGAATTCCCTGGGCGGATTGTCTCCAGAGCCTCTTCGAGGAATCCCAGCAAACCGGCCTTTGGAACTTTTATGGCCTCGGCTTTAGAAGAGGTTTTTGTTTTAATATTTGTCCCTGGGTATCCGGGCTCATGTATTAAGTTAATATCAAACATAACTGAATAATTTGATAAAGAACAGTTTGGACATGCTTGCCAGGTGGCCAGAGTTTATTCCTCAGAGAGATTTGTTCCCAGGACCCTACGCACTGCCAACACAGTGGAGACGTTAAGAGAGGCACATAAGAAACCATTTTCTCAGAAGCTACAATTACTGGAGTTAGAAGCATAGAATGAATAATAAGACCAAAGAAAATTATACAGAGGTAGCCCACCAGTGAGTTCGTAAAAGCCTATGAACCCAGAACGTCAGGAGGACACTTCCTCGGCCCTCAGGGTCCATGTGAACCCGGGACGTCAGGAGGTCACTTCCTTGGCCCTCAGGGTCCCTGGCTGGCAATCCTGAGTGGGGCCTTCGTATTGGATTTTCGTCCATGACACAGGGCCTCAGCATCTCAGTGCTTGCAGTCCCCAACAGTTAAGTAACCTAAGAAAATTCGTGACAGAGCCCAGCCCTGGTCTCCCAACTCTTGGCTCACTGCTTACCCAGGGCTCTACCTGGGGTCCTAGAGCAACAGAAGGAAATGGCTCCATGGCCCTGGGCTGACTCTGTGTGTCCCCCACCTTGCCCTCCAGAAGCGGTACCGCGCTGTTTACGACTATTGTGCAGCTGACGAGGATGAGGTCTCCTTCCAAGACGGGGACACCATTGTCAACGTGCAGCAGATTGATGATGGCTGGATGTATGGGACCGTGGAGCGCACCGGTGACACGGGCATGCTGCCGGCCAACTATGTGGAGGCCATCTGAGCCTGGCCGGCCGGTGGCACCCCTGTCCTACCCTCCGTCTTCAGTGCATTCCACAGCATCGCATCCGTCCTGAGGCGACATTCTGCCCCCAGGAGTCTCTGTTTTTTTAAATCTGCGACCGCTTGTTTCTTCCCACCCCCTCCAGCTTCTTTTGCTAACTGAAGCCTGTTCTACCACTCCCATGGGCTCCTTCCTCTGGCTGGTTTTCCTCTTGACCAACTTGTGGGTTTTCTCTCTCTGGATGGAACAGGTGTGTACTTCTCTGGGGAGGCCGTGGCCTATAGGGCTGGGTGGAATGGCAGGCAGACCTGGGCCCCTCAGACCCTCCTGTCCACCCCTCACATACCCAAACATTCCAGGACTGGGGTGATTCCCTAGCGGGAGGGGCTCCATGCATTATGGGGAGTGGGACCCCATCCCTTTGCCCCTGGGATGTGGACGGGGCTGCTGTTGTGTTGGGACCATTGTGATAGATTTACCTCTGCTTCACAAAGATAGGGCTGCTGGCTCACCAAGGGCCTCCTCCCGATCCATCTCCCTCTCTCAAGGACAACAAAAGGAGGGAGGGTAAAGTGCCCGTCCTGAGGTTCATCACCACCCTCCCCATGTGTTCTTCTCACACTGTGATTATTGCCCTCTAGCCCACGCAGACTTGATGTAGGCAAAGAACTCTCTGGGAAGCACAGACTGGGTCAAGTTCTTGCCTTTCTTGCTTTTAGGGACAGCTGTGGGGAAGGAGGGCGGGGCAGGGTGTTCTCTCCTACAGCTCTTTTTTCCTCCTCTCACCCCCAATCTCCAGGGACCCTTGCTTCCTTGACAGAAGCCCCTAGTCTTAAAGGGTGGGACAAGGAAGGCTTGGGGCACCTCTGCCCATGCCATTCAGGGTTTGGTGGGCAGCCCCTCCTTACTCCTCATGGGAAGATGCCTCAGGGCCTTCTGTTGCCTTCCCTCCTGGTCCAAAGCCAAATGGATTTGGTGCTTTGCAAAGCCAGCAGGAACCTGTGTCTTCAGGACATGGCATGTGTAGAGGAAGGAGCGTGCATGTATGTGTGTGTGTGTGTGTGTGTGTGTGTGTGTGTGTGTGTGTCTCTGTGAAAGGTCAGTGTGTGAGTGTAAGAAAGGGGTGCAAAGGGGTATGTCTGCCGATATGTCTTGGGGTTTGTAGAGGTGGGTACCTGTGAGGGTATCTGGAACCATCTTCTGATATTTCCACAGTGAGGGCAGGGCCTGAGGAGCAGCATTCCTTCTGTATTCTTTAGGTTGAAAACTCCTACTTTCCTCTTGGGTGCCTCACACTGGGGGTTTTCCCCTCAAGCCTCTCCCTCACTTACATAAAGCCCCCTTGGAACAGAGGGAAAGGGTCCCAGGGCTACATAACTGGAAGCACAGACACCGGGATGAGAAAGGGGAAGATGGTGCTATATCCAACTCCTTCTCTCCGCTCATTGGCGGCTGTGACAACACTTGCCTGGCTTTATTCATCTCTGGGTTTTTCTGTCACCCTTCTGCCCCTCCCCACGACCTGCTACCATCATCCTGAGTCCAACCGGACCCCACAGTTCCCATCTTGTCCTTTTGCATACCTGTACCCTGGTATGCTGCTGTGGGTTAATGCATCAGACTGCAAAGTCGTTTGAACTATAAGATCAATGGTTCAAGCTCACCAGTCGCTCCTTGGAAACCCTATACAGGGTTCGCTATGGGTCGGAACTGACTTGACGGCACTTAACAACAACCGTGCAGGGTCTTTGGTGAGGGAAGGGACCTGAAGGTGTTGGGGGACATAGCTAATAAGTCATCACAGGTACTTTATCAACTGCTTGTTCATTGATTTGGGAATATTTTCCTCAAATCTGAGAGTTGAGGAGTTGACTGCTCGGGGAGGAGCCCCTGATAACCCTGGGGGATGAGGGAAATCTTTTGGGGAAGCAGTCTTAGGATCCATGAGGAAGGCTGGTCCATTCCATTTACTCTTGAGCTCAAAGCACAATGTGGATTCTGGGACCAAAGGTCAGGGACATCTGTCAAGAGGACCCGAAGTTGGGAAGTGGTGAGTACGTGGGAGGGTCTCCACCTCCCCTCACAAGGGAGGACTTGGAGGAAGCAACCTGTTTTCATTCAGCTTAATTTTTCAAAACAAGGCAAAGCAGCTGTTGGAAACATGCTGTCTGTCCTTGTACTCCTCCTGTCCTAAAAATAGAGGGGACATTTTTTTATACACCCCCAGAGAGAGGAGGGACCATCACACTGGTGCTGAGGGACCCAGGGGCTGCTGGAAGTCCTTGTTTCCTTCCAGAACCTTCCTTCCTTAACAGAGCCCAGAACCCTGAAGGCTGGGCTGAGTCCCTGGTCTTTTCTTAAGATTTCCCAGAGGTCTTTTAGCCAGTCTAACCCAGGAAAGAAGATGCATCAAAACTAGAATGTGAATAAAACTTTAGTGGACCAATAATAAAATGAAAGAAGCCCAATGGTGAGAAAAGTAAATTCTCTCAGCGCTGCTTCCTGTTTCCTCCTTCAGGTCCCTCCAGGGAAAACTATTCTATTGCTTAATTTCTGCCTCTTTTCCCTCACATATGCACTTTTGTCCACCCCCTCTTTTTTTTTTTTAAAATAGCTGGAAAAAAAACACCACCCCACAAGCCTGTATTTAAAAAGAAACGAATGACCATGTGAAATTTGCCTCTGTCCAAACATTTCATCTGTGTGTGAGACGCCATCCATTCATCTTTTTATATGGGGTTGTTGTCTTTTTTTGGTCTGTTTTGGTCCCCTCCCTTGTGGGCTTGTGCTCGGGATCAAATCTCTCTGGCCTGTTATTCTGAACATTTGACTTGAACCACAAGTGAATCTTTCTCCTGGTGACTCAAATAAAAATATAATTTTTACCTGCTGACTTGGTTTCCTCTCTGGCTCTGAGGTGCTGGTGTGGATGAGTGGAGTCTTGTTTGCTTGGGGGCGTTGACCTGTTTGGGGGAGGGGGGTAGCTTTCCTTCTTTGCCCTAAAGCTTTTGTGAGCCCTCCTCCCACCACCCTGCTCCTGCCCACTGCCCATTCATTCCTCTGTGCCCAGCTTCAGAGCACTCCCAGAAACTTCCCTGAGCTTCCACAGTCTCCTGTTACTATTACTGATTTGTAATAGTTTACGCTTCTATCTCCTCAGACATTCATAAGGACAGGTGGTTGTTGGTTGCTGCTAATTCTGACTCATGGCGACCCCATGTGAACAGAGTAGAACTGCTCTCCACGTGGCACTGCACTGCACTCCACGTGGCACTGCTCTCCACGTGGAACTTCACTCCATGGGGAACTGTAGTCCACAAGGAACTGCTCTCCACGTGGAACTGCACTCCACGTGGCACTGCTCTCCAAGAGGAACTACACTCCACAAGGAACTGCTCTCCAAGTGGAACTGCACTCCAAGGGGAACTGTACTCCATGGGGAACTGCTCTCCAAGGGGAACTGCTCTCCACGTGGAACTGCACTCCACGTGGCACTGCTCTCCACGTGGAACTGCACTCCACGTGGCACTGTTCTCCATGTGGAACTGCACTCCAC